TCAAGAAGCTCTATAAGCATAAAATGGAGATTTCAAAGACAGCATAAAAAGTGTAAAATTTGGGGCCAAGGATTTCGCTCCGTGGTTCTGCTGCCTGCCTCGTAAGTGCTAGGTCCTGAGTTCAATCTCTGGTACCAAAAAAAAAGTGTAAAATCCCTCCATGATAATTTTTATATTGACTCTATGTTAAAATGGTAGTATTTTATATTAAATGGGATTAAATATGATATATTAATACATTACTTTCACTGGTTTTTGGTTTTGTTTTGGGTTTTTTTGGTACCAGAGATCGAACTCAGGATCTTGTGCTTGCAAGGCAGGCAGTGGAACCACTGAGCTAAATCCCTGGCCCTCACAGGTTTATTTTTACTTCCCAAAGTTACCATTAGAAAACTAAAATTATACATGTGAATTGCATTACATTTCCATTGAACACTGCTGGCCTAGACTGTCAATTAAAAAAAAAAAGATCCACTGAGAAAATAATCTGTGATCATAAAAAGCATTAAAAAGGTTCAACATTCTCTTAAATCAAGTTTTGTATGCACCTACACACAATTTTGATTTTTACTCCTGGGAAGACAGTAATTTTTAAATTGATAACTGCTTACCAGTTTCATAGCACAGGATCATCTTCCTGCTGATCTGTTCCTCAATCCTACCTGCAAAATCAGTTTTTCTGTAGTGGTAGGAACTTTACTTGCCTGAGGTGCAGTAAATTTTCCATAGCTTCTAATAGATTATCTAGATTAAAAGATAACAAGCCCTACACTCAGCAGACCTCTGCTCCCAATAATTAAACTGCAGCTATTTCTAACTAGTTTTTGTTACTACAATCATATAAAATTTAATCTAATTATTAAGATGACTGTGAATAGAAATAAATTTGATTCTCTAAGACCATACTGAATATTTTGGAAAGTCTAATAAGGTTAGTCACTAAAAGAAGTTGGGGCTGGGATTTAGCTCAGTGGTTCCAGCGCCTGCCTTGCAAGTGCAAGGTCCCAAGTTCGATCCCCGGGTACCAAAAAAAAAGAAGTCAGAGACAACTCTCATTCAAAAGGGTAAAATCTGTACTGATATTGCTTTAACAAAATCTTAGAATCTGAAAGAAAAATGTCATTTACGTAAGAAAAATAAAGTTAAACTCGTTAGTAGGGTCTTTGACAACTAAATGTGCATTTCCACATACTCAATTGGTATAAAATGTAAGCTTATGTTTTTATAAAAAAATAATATAAAAGTTTTGGATGCACATATAGAGTAAAAAGTGATAGATAAACAAGATTTTGGATAAACATTTAAAGAAAACAGACAAACAGGTGAATAGGAAAAAGATCTGTTGAGTTTTACATAATGTCATAAAATATAATAAATGTCATATTCACTCTGATTTAAGGAAATTTACATTGTGAAATTATGTTAAAAGTACATGACAAAAGTTAAATAATTATGTTATTATACCACATGTAACCACAAGTTGGATATCAATTTGCATATCAATCTATATGGTGACTTATTATAAAATTAATATGTAGATCCTATAAAACTTTTATGCATTATATTCCATTAGAGACAAATATGCCTTTCAAATTTCATACTTAATTGGAAAAGTTATCAAGAATAACAATTATTACTTTAGCATTGCCATTTTATGTCATACACGAACCATTTATTTTGCTCACGTTGAGAAAGGCTGCTTTGGTGTCCATTGGTCATATGGAATTATACATTGACTTTTTATATGAAAATATTGATCTACATTTTGGATTAAAGAAAAAGCATTCTATTTTAAAAAGGTATTAGACCACTTATAGAATTACAATGCAGTTCTCTAATTATTCTACTTATCATATACTATAATTCATTTCCAAGGAACATTCTCTTTATTTTCAAAGGCTTTAATAGTTTAGATTTATTTTGGGAATGCTATTAATGAAGGTATATTGAAGCCAAAATGAAAAGATAAATCAGCATATCACCCACTAGCACCAATCTTCCCCCAGGTAGGTGACAATCCAATGACAAAATGAGTTTAGAGTCATGGTATCTAAATAGTTTCTTTGATTTTGAATCTGATGACTCAAATACAGTTACTTTTGTTGAAAAATATTTTCCCAGTCATTTTATAATATAAAGAATTCTCTCTCTCTCTCCCTCCCGCCTCCTCTCTATTATGTAAATCTAAGGCAGCTCTTTGGTACACTGTATTAGCCCTTTCAATGTCTATTAACATTCTTTCAGAATCTATAATACTCATTTTTCTCCATCCACCTGTTTCATAACACTTGCCACCCAAGAAAGCATTACCCACTTTTTCAGATGATATAATGTTTCAGGTACTAAAAAACACTTAAATTATGTTTAATAGTTTCTTAATAGGCTTTCCATTCTTCATAATTATCTATCAATTACAAAATATAGGGTCCAACCAATGCCCTTGTAGAATGCTATTATCTAAGTGCCAAAATTTAAAATTAAAGTTCTGCAGAAATATAATCCATTACTTATAAGTGTACTGTTGGAAGCAGACTGCCCAGGTTCCAGTGCTGGCTCTGCCATTCTTTAGTGTGACCTTCGGTAAGTTATTTCTTTACCTCAGTTTCTTTATCTGTAATGTGGAATTAATATAGTGCCTATCATTTATTATAAAAATTACAATTAGAAATAATGTGAAAAATGCTTAGAGAATACCTGGCATAACAGGAACATTCAATAAATCAGATTATCCTGGATAGGAACCCTCAAAATCCCAAAATCAGAAGAAAGAAAAATCACATTCCAATTCTGATTCTCAAAACTATTTAAAATTCTTGTGGTTCAGAAATAAAATGAAGGTAATAGAAGAGCTATAAAAACACACTACTCAAAGACAACACACTATTCACAATTTCTGCAAACAGTACTGAATGTTCTTAGATGCTCATGCATCTGAATTTACACCCTTCATTTTTAAGTGGTCAAATTAAAACCATTTCCCCAATTTCTAAAGATGCTTAGGAAACCATCATTTCTACCCATTCTCAAGTAAGATGTAAAACAGTCTATATGATATAGGGCATTAAATCCTTATTAAGAGTGGCATTATTTCCTTTTATATTTATTTTGAGCAGCAGAATTCATTTTCTCAGTTAATCAAGTTTAATGAAACATACATTTCCTATTAAAAAAACATACATTTTTCTTATGCTATTTCTCCCAAATGCATGCAGAATTCTTGTTGAGGAAACCTAAATAGTTAACTAATCAAATGAATACCTGGCAGAAATGTAAAGATGAGAGCATGGATTTTCTCTAAGAGTAAACGTCACACTAGTGTTTTGACTCTTTAATACAATCATGTTTCAGATGCAACTAGAAGACTAAAATCTTTTTGAGTCTTACATAGCTATCTGTTGGTAGCTGAAGCGTCTCCACTTCTCTATCTTCCTAACTACTTAAAAAGGAGAAAATACTAATTGGGTCAAATTTCAGGACACTTCTTTGACCACATGTGTGAGTACAGTGGCAAATGTTATGTATATGGTTCCAAGTGGCATCTTCCTACTTATGTAGCAGAAGCAGGACAGGGGCTGCCCCTTCAGCACAGCCCAGCTTTCTTGAATTCGTTCCTGTGCTTAGAGAAGTGGTCAGATAGTCCGGCACTTTTCTCTCTCTGGGTTAGGTTGCTGGCCTGCATATAATGTAGTGGGAAAGGCCTTGCTGACATCGTGGGCTTTCACCTCCTGTTTGCCCCATTAATCAGTAAGTAATTGGAAGGGTGGAGTTTAGGATATTAACCAAGTGGAAAATTAAAAGGACTCTGCTTTCTCATTTGTCATTTACCTTTGGCATCTATACATTCACACCCTTGGGGAACCACCTAGAGAGGCAGTAATCTGTGTCAGGAAAAAAATGAAGGTGGGTGAGCTCCATCATAAAGGACAGGCTTTAATGGCCTTAAAACCTGAGAAGGACCTTTTGGCACTAGACCAAAGCAGCACTGCCTCTCATGGGTACTGGGTTTCATAGAGGGAGTTTCTGTCTTAAGTCAGGTTGCTTTGTAACATTTGAACACTGGGCTGTTGGGCTATGGTGTGTTTATCTGCTAGAGCTCATTGTTTTAACAAGGACTCATAAATCTTGGTAAATCTTGCTTATCCAGTGGGGGTGGCAGTTCTGCTTCCCTTTTTTTTTGTCTCTTAACAAAGGCCCATAAATTCTGAGGCTTGTACTAGTCCTAACCTGGCTAAGACAGCAGTGGTCTAATTCTTTTAATCTAGAACACAATGTGATTTTGAGCATTTCTGGCTCCCTTGGCTAAACATTCTGTAAAAATTTCCCATTATCAATCTGATTTAAAATAGCAGAAACATTTAAAAAATGGTTAAAGAAGAAATGTAAGAGTAGCATGTCACGTTCCCTCTCTTGTAGTCTCTAACATGTGCTATGAGACGCACAGGGAGACTGCAATAATGGAGCTCTGAGCAACAATCTGGCTTGGAAATTATTACACATCACAATTCTAGAATTTTGCTGTTGTTTTGTGAGATACATTTCTCCCAATTCCTCTGTTTCTCCCCCTTCCCCGCCTCTGGTGGAGGAGGGATGTATTTGCAGTGCTCAGATGCATTCCCTTGCACTGTACAGGACATAAAGGTTATAAAAATCTTCAGAGACATTGCAAGATGTAGAAGTTTAAGAATTACTACTCTATAATAAATAAACTGAATATCTGAAATTTATAAGAAATGAGAAAGGTTCCAGTCCAAGTTGAAAACCTTTACTCGATTACTGTGAAAGAGTAAATTACTTTATTATTATAAATTTCCAAGTTGAAGAAGATAGTTATTCTTAAAATTACATGTAAATATTTCAATAACATTTGGTAAACCAGATAAAATTGAAATTTAAAAAATAGGGTCATGTAAGTGCACTTGCTTCTTAAAACATACTCATCATACACTTCCTAAAATATACTCAGTTTCAAGAGCAAGAATGAAAGAAAACATATGTCTTACCTCCCATCTCGATCCCAGTCATATACTTCTACTTTGATTGTTCTGTCCATGGGAAAAACATACATAAAAGTTACTTAGTAAGAGTACAATATTGGGCTGGGGATTTAGCTCAGTGGTTTTGCCGCCTGCTGCACAAGCGCAAGGACCTGAGTTCCATCCCTGGTACCAAAAAAAAAAAAGAGTACAATACTATGTCATTCAGAATTAAAAACTAAATTATAGTTAGATTTTCTTTAGTAAGATACCATGTGCTCTTAGGTTTTACAAAGTAATTTGAAATGGATTTAGCTAACTTCATTGCTATGATACAATTTACCTTTTAAAGTCAGTTTCTAGACTCTATATTGTTTCTTTTAGAGAAAGTTTATGGGACAGAGCTCCTCAGTGGGGCTAGAAGACAACTGACTTGCAGTCTCACACTCAGAATGCATAGGAATCATATGAGCGCTTATCAACAGGGATTACTGGGCATTTTTCCCTGAATTTCTGGCTCAGTAGGTGTATGATAGGGCCTGGGGATGTGAATTTCTGTACGATTACCAAGTGATGCTAATACTCATAATTGGTAACTGCACTATGACACTACTTTCATAAAAAGTAATGAGTCCAGTTAAATAAAGTTACAGACTTACTAAGTGAATAAAACGACACTTAAGTGGCGGTATCATAATTTTGAAAGTAAATTTAGTGATAAATTGGTAATCTCTAGTTCCTGGTATGACACAGATTAATAGAATAAACTTCCTTTTTTTCTAATATAGCAAATAACAAGCTATGTAAAATAACAAAGAGATTGAGTTTTTTTTATTAATTTGCTTTTCATTCAGGATGAGGATTTTTATAGCTTAACTTTAAACTTTTATAAAATAGATATTAAGAAATCTTCAGGACCACCTCCCCCAGCTGTGCGTAAAAACACCTGTTCGACATCTATGCGACTTTCATGAATCAACAGCCATGAAAGTAGTTATGCCAAAAAAATACTAATTTTCCAGAAAAAGTCAGGGTGGACAGTTATAAAGCCATAGTCTGCACCTCCTATGTACCTGCATATTTCAAGTTGGGTTTTTTTTTTTTGGTAACAGGGATTGAACTCAGGACATCATGTTTGTGAGGCAGGCAGCAATATCGCTGAGCTAAATCCCAGGCCCATGCATGTTCCACTTTTAAAGGACGTGCCATATGAAACCCCTGAGGCAACTAAACTTCCAGAACTCAGCTTTAAAGTAGTTAAGTTCAAATGTAAATATCCAATATATTTTTTGCACTTTGTACATTTTCATTCTTGGATAATCAGTCATTGTAACCACATTTTAATTAGCCAGATTATCTCTTCTCCTTAAACCATCCATAGGCTTAAGTTATTTGAAATTTTTTCAATAAATCATTCATGTTTTTGTAAATACATAAATACAAAAGTAAAGAAGGCACTTTCACTTCAAACATAATTTGTCTTAGATTATTAGATCTATACTAAACATTTAAAATCTTCAGGACAGTTGTCATTTATTTTACCTGTCATAATCTCCATTACATAATGCTCTGACCGAGATTTTGAAGGCTTGCCATACAGGATTTAGAGTGTTTTTGACAACTTCTGTTCTATGACAAATTGTAAAACTGTAAAAAAAAATTTTTAGTTATTTTCATGACTCAACCATAATATATTGTTTTAATAATCATTCCTTTCGTTTTGTGCAGAATAAATGTAGCAATCCTTCTGTTACTGCTATACCATTTTTTAAAAGTTACATGATTTTGAAAACTTTTAAGATTAGCTCACTATCATATAAAGCAGTGAGACTGCATAGAACTAATTTTCCACCAATTTAATGAATGCTAAATCTATTTTATAACTGGTTATAAAAATTGTGGTGGCATACTGATACAGCTTTGTTCTGCCATGAGATCCCTGACATAATGCTCTGCTTCACCAGAGGCTCAAAAGCAACAAAGCCAACTTACCATGGACTGCCACCCCTAAAACTGTGAGCCAAAATAAACCCTTCCCCACTTTAAGTTTATTTTATTCATGTATTTTGTCACAGTTACAGAAAGCTGACCACCGCAAGAGTTTACATAAAAAGATTAATCAAGGGAAAGGATTTTTGTCATTATTGCTTTTATTATTTTAAGATGGAAGAAGTAACAGAAATTTCATTTGCTAAATATCCAGTAAAGAGTAAACCATATGTGATACATGACAGAAAGGAAAAACTTCAGCAGTGTAATTTAAATAGGTGACTGCAAATTAGATAAAAAGGAGAAAGAGGTCAACCCATCATCTTTAAAGTAACATCCTCAATGGTCTACTTTGTGGCCAATTCTCATGTGGTAAATCAGAATTTTTGTTATTCCTACTGTCACTAGCCATAAAAATTAAATAATCTGATACTTGAAATTTCTTCTCATAAGAAAATGGCTCATTTTCAAAATAAGATATTTGTGAGGCAGATATTCATTTTTTCCTATAAGTCATTCTCATTTATAGTGTACTAGATGTGAAATAGATGGTAAAATATCACTAGTAAAAGTACCAGTGATAATGTAACTAGTGGAAATTTTAACAGAATTTTTATGTAAATTCTTCTAATATTCAGGAGTATCGCTATATAAATATAAATGTATGCATGTGTCTACTGCACACAGAATTGTAAAAATATATTCTTACTATATAACCTATACTAAGATACTTTAAATGAAACTTTTTACTAAAAACAGCTATTCCAAAGAAAAATTATTACCTAATTAAGGATATAGGTCAAGTTAATAGATGTAAAAAGAAGAAAATAAGAATTTATAATCACATATTACAAAGCTTTTCAATTAATGTTTTACTTTTTCTTGTAAAATGAGCCCAAATACACCAGTTAACAGTTTTTGAAACACTTCTATATTAAAATAAATTCAAAGTAAACCAAAAATCTCTAGATTTGAAAACAGGAAAAAAGTGAGGTATACATACTCATTCAGATATCAGCAAAATTACCTATATTAATGTTCTAACATATATTTATTAATACATGTATTTGGATCTAGCTGGTGAACTAGTTTGTAAATACCAGGGTATAAATATACACAAAAAGCTTTCTTAAATGAGATTTACCAAATTTTAACAATTGCTTTAAATGATTTGGGATTTTTGCATTAGTTATACTTTTCTCCTAATACTTATATTTCATTGAATGAATGAATATCATTTTTACAAGCATAATAAAATTTTGTAATGAAAGCACTACCAGTAGCACTAAATGTGTGAGAAATAGAAATCTTATGACTTTACAGCTTTACAAATAAAACTAATAAGAATAAAAGTAGCTGGATGTGGTAGCACATGCCTATAATCTCAGCATTCAGGAGGCCAGGGCAAGATGACAGCTGAGAGTTTGAGGCCAGCCTAAGCTACACAGTGAGCTCAAGACCAGCCTGAGTGACACATCAAGGCCAGCCTGGACAACATAGGGAGAGTCTGTCTCAAAAACCCAAAAAACAAACAAACAAAAAAACGAATATAGAAAATCCACAAAACCAAAGTAAGTAATTCAGTTCAGAGGAGACAATATTATGACTCCAGAATTTTAAACCATTCTTTAGTTTCTCTCTAACTCTGAATGACTGGCAAACATGACTATGCAAAATCAAATAACATGGCAGCATAACAAAAATATCCAACGGTTATTCAGCCTGCATCAACAAAAATCCCATAATAAATTATGGGTCATTTAAAACTGCCTAACGTATTCAATTTAAAGAGCAAACTTTTTATGTTTATGTAACTTTACAAATTTATACTACATCATATTAATATCGTTTAATTTTGTTTACAAGTGTAACAATAATGACAGATATTTTTCATTCTAATACTCTTGCTTCTTAATGTTCAGAGAAATAATATTTTCTTTTTACATAGTATTTTATTATACATACTGTTGCAACCAAAAAAGGAAATGTTATACTATAAAACAATACAAATAGTTAATGTTCTAGTTCTTCTTACATGTCCAAGAAACTTCTAAATGTTTTCTGCATAGTAACTCATTTCTTTTGACAACACTATGAGATAGCTATGATGATCACATCATTTTATAGTTGAAAAAACTGAGCCTTAACACATTTAAAAAGTTGCTGATGGTCCTATAGCCATGAAGTATCAAGGTCATAATCAAACTTGGCAACAGAACCTTAACCTCATTTTTGACCAGTGAACTTTCTCTACGATACCAACAGTACAATAAAAGTCCCATACAAATTGTCAAGTAAATTTAATGGTAGATTCATATGCATCAAATTAGTCTCTCATAACTCATAAATATGTATTCAAACTATATAGAAAACAATCATTCTTACAAGCAAAAATATCCAAATTTACATAGTGAACAATTTTGTTGAATTTTAGACTCAGATATCACAGGAAAAAACACTGTAGCATAAAAGACAAATCATATAATCTAGTTCCTTCTCCAAGAAAATGGTTTAATTGTTCAATTATATAATAAAATACATTTCTTTCAGCATTTTAGGTTTTTATAAAATGCCATTCTTGCCCACTATTAAGATGTTGTGGTTTATATCCAGATGTTCCCCCAAAGCTTTGTGAGCTCATAGGTGGGGCTTTGGGGAGGCAACTGGATCATGGGGGTGATACTCCTCAATGCACTTGTCCACCAAGGAGTTTATATCTAAAAATAATTTGGGAGGTGAAGCCCAGTTGGAGGAGATGGGTCAATAGGGGTGTGGCCTGAAAGGGTGTATTTCTTCCTCTCTTTGTCTGCATTCTTTCTCCTCTGGGATGCTCCACTGCCCTGCCACCCTGCCTTGGACTGTGGACTGAAACCTCTACAAAATGTGAGCCAAAATAAACCTTTCCTACTTAAAGTAGTGAATGTGTTGTACTGTGTCCCAGCAACAAGAAAGTAACTAAGACATAAGGCAATTTAATAATTATATGAAAAGTAAATGATACTGTTTCCATGAAACTGAAAATCATTCATTTTTAAGTAACATGATATAAACATAACATATAAAATGTTTACGAAGTTACACATTTTTTCATTGGGATATAAAAAGCAACAATTTTTAAAACACCAAAATATTTTCTTCCATTTATCAATTTAATGAGCTTCTTTGACAAAAATAATAATTGAAATGTCACTCTTACCATAGAGTTAAAATAAATAAAAGATAAATCTACCTGCCATCTTCATTGCTTCGATAAAATACAAGAAAAGGATCTGATTTTCCAAAGAAATCCTTCTTGTCCAATTTGTTTGCACAAAATTGCATCAAAACAGCATCCTATAAAAATTAATAAAATATCTCAAAAGCTGGGTTATAAATAACTAAAAACTGCAGTTATCAAACAAGACTTAACAATTTTTTCATTTTAATGCAAATAGCCAAGCATAGGAGAATTGCAAATAACATAAAATTGCTTTTTGAAGGATTGTACAACTTTAAAATTTTCTCTAGAAATTTACATTCAAGTTATAAAACTACTGCTTCTCAAAAACTTTTAGCATTTCATCCAAAAAAGCAATATTAAGATACAAGATGACTAACAAATGACTCTGGATACTCAATGTTATAATATGGGATCTTCATTCTTATTTTCAATTATTCAGGTACACATTTCTACAACAAAATTTTTTTTAAAATTCCTTTTTACTTAGAAAATATTTAGTAAGCATCTACCTACTGTGCATTAGATATTGAGATGTTAATATAGCACATGTACTAATCATCTAATGATGATTTGATATCAACATGACAGACTCTGACAAAATAGTTTACAACCTAAAGTGTGTTTCTGTGTATGCTTGCATATTTGTGATGGGGGGGCTCCCTTAATTATAAACAATTACCACAGTGTCTGAACAGTTATATTTAAAATAATTTCTATTATAACTGAGCTTCGAGAAAAATAAAGCATTTTCATTTTCTTCTACGAAATAGCTGTACGTTAATTATTATGCTATATCAATCTTTCTCACCAATTTACATACCCAAGCACTCATAAGCTAAACGATTTCAGGGTATCATAATCAACAGTTAAATGTTTAATTTAATTATGCAAAGTATAAGCATTTTTTAGGTAGAAAATACTTAACTATTTAAATTAAAATCAATATTTATAGGGTTTTTTGTGTTTTATAACTGAAAGGAGATGATAAAAATTTGGGGGAAGAGGTGACATAGTGAAGTACTTCAGATTAATTTCAAGAGGTCATAGTTCAAATACTATTTGGTGGAAATGTTAACAATGTCTAAAAAGTCATTGTCCTCTTCTCTACTTATTTATTTTTGTGGAGCTCAGCAATACTTATTAATTATCCACATACATTCTCATTAGTTTTTTCCAGTGGTTTCAAAAGACTTATTAAAAAATGATGTTATTTCAATTTTTTTCATTCATTCATTCATTTACTTTGCAAACATTTCTTTAGCAATATTGAAGTTGGGATCTTGGAGCAAGGTGGTAACACAATCTCTGCCCTTGGAAAAGCCACAGTTCTAGATTTCCCATTTTCAGAAGTCTATACTATTATTTTACACTATCATGTAGAAGATAACTGCTGTCAGAGTTATAATAAAGCAAGAAATACACCATAGGCAGGAATACAGAAAATACACATTTTAGGGAAAATTAAAAGAATACAGGCAAGAACAATGCAGACATCACTCTTATTTCAAAAGCCTCAAGTGGGGCTGGGGATTTAGCTCAGTGGTTCTGGTGCCTGCCTCGCAAGCGCAAGGTCCCAAGTTCGATCCCTGATAGCAAAGAGAAGTCTCAATTGACAATTTTCCAAATTTGTAAGTAAAAGATTTTTTTAAAAATACTAAGGAAACAATTAGAGGATTACCTTCAATAATCAAACTATAAAATTAAGGGCAGGATTGAGAAGGTAAGATTGTTTCTCTTTTCTTTTGTTTGTTTTCAAAACTCTTAATCTCCACATATATGTAAGTGAGAGTGAATTTGCAGAAACAAATTCAGGGAAATTACACTGACATTGTTGACACAAAAACATCACTCCTTTATACATGATCTTTCAAAGCACCTAAACCAAAACATGATTCTGAGAAACATTCTAATATATTTCAAATGTATAAAGGATAAAATGTATATGTATCACATTGTTAATAAAATGTCAAAGAGATTTATTGTTATGAAGGTAGAAAATTTATGACAATCGTTGGGAAACATAAACGAAGATTTCAACTTCAAATTTTATTTTTATTTCTTACAAAATTATTAGCTAATTAAAAATAATGTCTTTTAATGAATGCAAGATAACACATACAGTCATGCTGGGAAAAATACATTTTTATAATTACACAGGTGGGATAGAGAATGACACCCAAAGCCCTCATGCACAAAAAGGCATGGCTTTTTTTTTATTTGAATTCTCATTGGAAAGTATAAAGTTTTCCATTTTTTTTTTCCCCATTAAGTTTATTGGTACATTTTCGGTATAAAAAAAAGTTACATTCATCACTGGGATCTTGTACCATTACATGAGTCTCTTGGTTCTTATTTTTTCCCACATCCCCTGCCTTCTCTTCACCCCCTCCACCCTTCCCTATTTACAAAGACTTTGTTTCCATTGTTTTCCTTTTCTCATATTTTTTTCCCCTTTTTTCCTTTCCCCTACCCCTCCCACTTCTCCTGATCCTTTAGACCTTTTCTTCCTGTTACACAATATCAATTATACATTTTTCAAATTACAATATCAAGATCTAGGAGACATTACCACAGATTTTACAGAATTTTAAAGGATATAGAAAGCATATTTCAAAAATCTGTTTTGAAATAAATTTGACAACTTCTAAGAAGTATCTTGGAAGACAAATTAATGAAACTAATTCCGGA